CTGGTTTCTGTCACAAGTTTTCAATACAATAATTACCGTCAGATCTAACATTACTCCACTGAATTCTCCTTTCACTTCACATAAAAGAAAAAGAGCATAAAAGTAAAATGAAAAACAGTGTTGGGAAAAACAAGAATGAGTATATACCTGAAATCTGCAGACGTAGTAGTCGTCTCCGTACATGGCACGCATGGCATCGACGGTTCTGATGTTGGGGTCTCTGTGAAGAAGAGGAACACTGAGGCAGACATAGGCCTTGACTCTGTCGGGGCGAAACATGCAGAGATACCAACCTATGATGGCACCCCAGTCATGAGCCACAAGGAAGACTTGGTCGACACCCAGAAGGTCTATAAGCGCAATCAGATCACCCACTATTTTAAAGCTTGTGTAGCTGCTGATTGAATCCGGTGCCTCTGTTTCACCGTAGCCACGTATTTCTGGTGCTACAGCGTGGTATCCTTGGGTGCTGAGAGATAGAATCTGGTGGCGCCATGAGTACCAGAGTTCGGGGAAGCCATGGAGGAATAACACCACAGGACCCTCTCCTTTCTCTGCTACATGCATTTTTATGCCATTCACTTCCACCGTTCTGTGTTCTACGCCTTCCATCTTAGTACGAAAGCTAATCAAACGCTCTTTTGTTTTAAGTGTTATTGGATCCGATACACCACATTATATAGAGATAGCGGTTTGCTTTCGTCTACGTTTTTTTCTTTTCTTCCTAACGTGTGAAATACCCGCGTTCACACGTCATGGAAACTATATCTCCTAAAACGTTTTTTCATGTTACACGTGATTGGGAATCTTTTTATAGTAATACAATAATATAACAAGGAATAATTAAATTATATAAAAAATTGAAAAACTGAGAAATAATTTTGTTTTATTTTATTATACGAGGATATATTTCTTAAAATGTTTATACTAATTCGTGACATCCAAACTGAGCCTTAGAGTTATATTTTATTTATGATCACTATAAGCAAAGAACCCTAAATTACTAATATCTCGGTAATGTTAAATAATGAATGGCTGCCACTGCTAGTTAGCTAGTATTTCCTTCCTTGTTTTACACGATTTTAGAAACCATTTGTTATCATTTATTTTGGTGGAGACTTCCTCGGGTTTCTTTAACTACTGTACGTGGTGGTTGCCGTGAAACGATATTTACATAAAGTCAATCAAATAAATTTCATTTTTAAATCCATATTTATTCTAAGGATCTGTAAATCAAGTAAAAAAATATGTTCAGGTAAAACGAACAAAGTTTTTTTCTAAACCAAACAACTTTTTGAAATGAACATTGATTTTAACTTTTTTAAAATCTAAAAAAACGTTAAATTCATCGTAAATATTTTAAGTTGTCGGTCTTAAACTGTTAGGTAGCGGGATTGGACGCAAACCGAAACTTTGTTTCCGTCCAAAATCACGGTCCCCGGTCCAAGTGTTGGTGAAGAACGTGATGACTTATTGAGTAACTAATTTACAGTTCTCTGTTTGTAAGAAGTGCATTCTGTCACGTAACTATTATTAATCAATTATATATATTATTTCATCTTTATCAAATCGTTATTAAAGTATTTATTAATATTTAATCTTACATATAATGTATAGGCTCATAATGAAATTTTATTGTATACTTGTGGACATTTACTTTCTTTCTTCAAATCCATTCAAATTGAAATTTATTGATGAAACCGTTTTTGACCCATTAGACAAAAGCAAACAAAATTTGTAAAAAGACATGATAGCGTGCTTCTCGTGGCTTCATCAATGAGAGAAGTTGGTCAAGCTGTTGAATTTAGCTTATAACTCAATGGGGATACATTTGAAGGCTTACTCATTAAATTCCTTCGGTCTTTTATTTTGATAGGATTGATTACTTTATAAAATATAATAATAATTATTATTTTAGTAATATAATAATAATAATTATTATTTTAGTATGTAGAGTAGAGAACCACACCTTCACAATTTTGTTCGGTCACCCCTCTTAGTTTCGTTTTTCTTTTCTTTATGTCTCATCCAGTTTTTTTTATCTTTTCTTTATGTCTCATCCAGTTTTTTTTATCTTTTCTTTATGTCTCATCCAGTTTTTTTATCTTTTCTTTATGTCTCATCCAGTTTTTTTATCTTTTCTTTATGTCTCATCCAGTTTTTTATCTTTTCTTTATGTCTCATCCAGTTTTTTTATCTTTTCTTTATGTCTCATCCAGTTTTTTTAGTAGAGTCCAAATCAAAGTAGTGAGTGCCTGCTAGAAATTATTCTGATACTCAATTTAGTTTTTAATTATCAATCAATTATTATAATTAAGTTTTAAATATTTAAAAAATATAATTATTTTTTTTATATTTATAAATTTTTAAGTGATCTTTTAATTAGAATAGACCCATATCGTTGAGCATGTTTGTTAATAAAAAAATGAGATCCTTGCACCAAACACAGTTCAGTTTACCATTGTGATTTTTTCTAGAGTTAACTTTGTATATGGTTGATCGAGTCGAGTCGGTCCATCCATTACACAGCCCCAGGTCCGAGACAAACAGATTTGGCGAAGACACTTTATGAAGTTTGGGTAGCACGTGTGTTCCGTCCAATGTTTTGAAATCATTCGTACTTTTCTTTTCTTTGTATTTTAATAAATATAATTATCCATGTCAATTCAGTGTATCACGTACGGCTGTTTGGTCCAATTTAACGGTTAAAGTATAATTGTTACAATTTTTTAAAAATTTAGATCCAATTGAATAACCAAAAAATTAAGGGATGAAATTGAGATTTTGTTCAAAAAAAAGACTTCCTGAACATTAAATATAACTTTAACAGTGGAACCAAAATAGTCCAGTGATGGAGCACAACAATGATGCACAGTATTTATTAGTAAATTATATATTTATTAGTAATTATCAACACTTTCAATTTAATCACACGACACACTACTTTTAAATTTGCAGCTTTTGAATTATTAATTTTCATTAACTTATAAGTTTTCAGTTAGCAGCTATGTGAGACACCCTTACATCTCGTAAAAAGTTCTTGATTTTCTGCTATATATTACATGACAGGCCTTGAAACACAGCATTCCAACTTCAACTTCACCAACCATGTTCCATGTTGAATGTGTTCATCCCTTGGTGATAAAATCAACAGGGTAAGTGTTGAAAGTTCCAAAAATGTCAAATTATAAAATATAAATAGAATACAAATTTTATTTTATATATCGATTTTATGAGATTGAATTAGACTTAAAGTTTAAAGTATAATCAAATTATAATATTTAAGTGAAGTGCAAATTTTACTGTCAAGTCCGTTAGACTACTTTAAAATGATTCTTAAACTTATTTTCAACCTAAATAATTAAGAAATGGGAAGGAAAGAAAATAATCATAGTAGAGTTTTAAATTTTGAACCGAAGTTTTCCATTTTTACAAAGTGCGAAAAATGACGTATGATATTCATAATTTATAAACTAAAATAATTAATAAAAAAATTATTAAATAATGAAGATATACCTAAGGTGATTACACTTTGAACAAAAACGATAGAATGTAACTGTGGTCGTTGTTTTCAGTAGATATTATAAGGTAGGACCACCGATATGATTAAGTTAAAATAAACCTTGGATTCTTGGATTCCCATGCAAGCGTGTTTCACGTCTTAGGCTTTGTTCATATGCTTTGCTCATATGTGTAGATTTGTGGGAGATAATATGGAGAAAAATGATTAAGTGGATTTGAGGAGATTTGAGAGTAAAGTTGTTAGTTGTTTGTTTAAATGGATTTGTAGGCAATTGAGACTGGATTTGAAAATAAAGTTTGTGAGAATTAGTGTAGGATTTGATTGACAGATAAAAAAAAATTGTTTAATTATTAAAAATTGAAGATTACCAAAATATCCCTAATTATAAAAGTAATATAAAATGATAATTGTAAATATTATATTTAATTGTAAAAATGTTTATAAAAAAATAAAAATTAATTTTTATAGATTATATCTATATTTTAATTTTAATTTGATTATTTAAGAAAATGTTTTTTATTTACTAATCAATAAAGTGAAATAACATTTGCTAATGGAAAGTTACTTTTTAACTATGTATAATGTAAAAATAAAACAATTGTGATGTTAAAAGAAACATTATATAAAATATTTTGTCAATAGAGACAAAACAATTCCCTTCATATCATCTAAAATACTTATGTTTGTTGTAAAGTTGGGCAGAGGAGTAATTGTGCTTCATGTGTTCTGTGCTTGTTCACAGGGGTAGAAAAGATTTTTCACCATAATCACCCTCAAATCTTGTTGCATTGCTGTGGATGAGAAAAACACCTCATCCCGCAAATCAACAAGAATCATTCGTTATAAATCTTTTAACGTGAATACAATTATTTTCTAAATCCATCATCTCCTAACTGTCAGGTTTATTTCATGTTGTTTTATTTAGTTTAAATAAAGATTAAAGTCCTTTATTTTATGCAGTTAAATAAAAGGTCTTATGCTGACCTATTATTAGGGGATTGAGGAGCTGATTTTTAGGAACGAGAGATCTGTTAGGAGATATCCCACTCATTTAGGAGAGTGGAAAAGTGCAGTTACTTTCTTTTATTATTATAAAACGATTGTAATCAAATACTTTAATAACATCATCAAAAGATTACATTCAGAAAACGTTTCCTTTATTGTGTTCACAATTTGGTATCAGAGCTCCTTCACAGGGGCTTGAACCAAGAAAAGTCACACGTGAGTAAGAGAGAGAAACACTAGAGAGTTTTGTTTTCTGGATTGGATTGGGAAGAGTGATACACTGTGAGTTTTTGGGAAAACTTGAGAGTGCACTTCGAGATGACAGAAAACGAAAATATGTCCAGACTGCTATTCCAAAATTTGATGGTCATTATGACCATTGGGCGAAGTTAATGGAAAACTTCTTACGTTCTAAGGAGTATTGGAGCTTGGTGGAGCATGGAATTGATGATGTTTAAGACAAAACAAAAGCAACAGATGCAGAACTCAAAAAGCTGGAAGAACAACAGCTTAAAGATTTGAAGATAAAGAATTATCTCTATCAAGCAATAGATAGAGAGATTTTGGACACAATCCTAAACGATGAAACGTCCAAAAATATATGGGACTCCATGAAGCAGAAATTTCAAGGATCCACAAGGGTGAAACGAGCACAGTTGCAGGCTTTACGTAAGGAATTTGAGATATTGCAAATGAAGGAGGGAGAATCGGTGAATTCATATTTTGGCCGAACCTTAAAGATTGCCAAAAGCATGAAAGCAACAGGAGAAAGAATAGAAGAGAGTGTCATTACTGCAAAAATCTTGTGGTCTATGACTACTAAATTCAATTATGTAGTATGTTCAATTGAGGAATCCAACAACATGAACAGTATGACTATAGATGAATTGCAAAGTAGTTTATTGGTGCATGAGTAGCGAATGACATGTTCAGTGGAAGAAGAGCAAGTTATGCAAACTGTATTTGAGGAGAAATATGGAAGAGGCAGAGGAAGAGGGAGAACAAGGGGAGCCTTCCGAGGTAGAGGAAGAGGGAGACAAACATTTAACAAAAATGAAGTTGAATGTTTTAAATGTCATAAACTTGGACATTTTCAGTATGAATGTCCAATGTGGGAGAAGAAAGCAAATTATGCAGAGATGGAAGAACATGAGGAAGAGATCTTACTGATGGCTCTCGTG